GGACCCACTGCGCGGTCTTCCTCGGAAGCCATGCCGCGAACTACTCCAGCACCACATTATCGACGACATCGCTTCCCTCAGCCATCAGCCATCTGTGGCAGGAGTCCCGGAGATGTTGCACCATCACAAAGGGTTGCTGCAGGATGGCGCATTTCAGGTCTTCATAGACTAGAAGTTTCTGAACTGGCAGTTGTTGCCACCTGCGCCTCTCCGGAGAGCAGAGGTATGAGGTATGATTGGCCCGTCCACGGGGGCCATCCACAGGCCTCTGCGGACCTCTCAAATAAATCCACAAAAGCCTCTGTATCATCCTGATCATCCCATTTTATTTAGAGGCGCGTGAGTGGGCGGGGCTGCGACAGATGGAGTTCTTCTTCCTTCCCGGATTTCTGCATTGTGATGAGGTTCAGGGTTGGCGTGACCGGGACTCGTAAGTTTTTATTAAGCCTAGTTCACACTACGTGATTTTAAGCCCGATTTAAGCCCGATTTGCAAATCGTTGAGTCGCCGACAAGTCAGGGTGTTATCGCGTGCAAATCGCGGGCGATTAGCGGACGATTAACGCTCGCCAATCCGATAGTGTGAAAGAGCCAACAACGCATCAAAGACAGCTCGCAGACAGCTCGCAGACAGGTCACCGAGCTCAGAAAAATATCTAGCATGCTAGATATCTCGAGCAGTCGCGCGACTCAATCTCAGTGATGTCATGAGTACAGCCAATCATAGCAACGCATGGGTTGAGGACACCAGGTAAATCTTACTTTTTCTTTTTTGCATTTTTTTTTCTCAGAGCAGATCGTCGAGCAAACAGTGTGCAGCACTAGTTTCTGTCTGACGTCCATATTCGCGTGTTGTGTTCTTCTCTGCAGTTTCGCGCCATTTCTGGTTCGTTTTATTGCGTGGTTTTTCGTGACAAAACATGGTTTCTAGACCAGATAGAATCGTGTTGTTGTCAACTCGTTATTTGTTTGATTATTTTCAGGATTTAGACCGTACTATAGTACTGAAACAGCTCTCATTGAGTCACAAATGATATGCTCTTATCATCCGATCGTGGTTGTATCTCTGTGTAGTGCGTTGTTAACTCGTGTAGTGAGTTACGTCCTGTTGTGGATCAATCACGTTGTGTTGTGTGGTGTGAACAGCTAAACAACTTGAACACTCATGATTTCACTGAGAGCAAGTCATGTAATGTGAACTGCACAGTTCAGCCCGACATTTTAAAATCATGTAGTGTGAACTAGGCATTAGGATAACTTCAAAATAACAACAAACAAAAGTCACGCCCACAGCACATTTGCCGTAGACTCACTGCAGCACAGACAGTAGTTAACAAAACAGGCTCTGTCCTTTTGGTTATCTCACTATACTCTTTCCCCAGTGATCTTGTACGAGTCCTCGGTCCTTCTCTCTCTTCCGTTCTCTTTCCAGTGCGGCTTATATCCACGCCAATTACCGCAACAAGACACAGGTGTTCGTCATCTCCACTTGACCTACTGCTCGTCTCCTTTCTCTCTTTTCCGTTGCAGACTTCGCTGAACAACTTTAGAATACGGTTCCTTCGTTAATGAATAGGAACCAATGAGTAACACAAAATTAACAATCTAGTAACTATTATTAGCTAACAAGAAACTCTGATTAACGAACTAGTAAGTAATAGCACACAGACGAAAGTGGTAGTTCACTATTAAGTAATCAATAACTACTATTTTTTAATACTTCCCAGAGAACTACTGACAATCTAGTAACTACTATTAATTAAAAGAAACTCTTATTAACGAATTAGTAAGTAATAGCTCACAGATGAAAGTGTTACTAGATACTTCTGTGGGAATTACTAATTATTTGGATTCGTATTATAATGTGAAGATCATTGGAACTAACTAGTAATGACTCAAGTGTTACTAAAGACATTTTCTAAACGTATACTAAAGTTCACCAAAAATCTCAAACGTTTGCACAAATCCTCATGTAGTAACACTTCGGTCATTACTAGTTAACCAACCAAATGCAGTGCAGTAGAAGCCATAGCACACAATAAATGATTCATATTCTCTATTCTTTGTTTGCTAACAGAGACAGAATGAAGCTGTGATGCCGGAAACACAATGACCATGGCTCTGTATACGCACATCTTGATCTTGGCATAGTTTTTCCTAACATAAACGACCAGAAATAGACACTGTATCTCTTGTGGAAAAGAGCAATGTGATCTGGCCACAAGCAAATTATATGTTGTTCTATTTTAAGTGGATTGTTTGTATTAGACACCAAGAGATTTGACTATTTGAAAAGGTTATGAAATGGAAATGTATATTGTCTCAGTGACGTGTTTGGAAATTGTGTCGTCAGTGTACGGAAAACCAGTACATAAATAAACATCTATTCTGACATTTCAATATGTAAAGATGTTTATTGCCATGAATTGCCACAATAATGAAAATGGTAGTTTAAGAGGAATCACATTCCAACATAACAAAGTTTTTACTTGACTCTAGAGTGGGTCAACTTTGGTTTGTGATGAATTAATTGCAAATTAAAACAAGCAGTTGAAACAATATTGGTTTGGTCTGAATGATAGAGATGCCAGTTATGTATTTCTGCCCAGAGACTATTCCATACACAATAGACAGATCTTAAAATGAACAAATTTGATTTGTATTATTATTGTCATTGTTGTAACACTTGCAAGGAGCAATAAAGAACAGAAAACTGGCAAGTTGTGTGGCATTTCCAGTCAAATCAGATCTATAATATCTATATCTGAAGCACCTCTTATGTAGGCCTATGGCAGACCCTGCAAATTTGTTCTACATATTAAAACTGTATGTAAAGTGATATTAAAATGCATAACACTATAGTGTTATGCATTTGTTATGCATTTTAATATCACTTTACACTGCACTGCAGTAATTCAGACGAAAAGTGAATAATAGACTAGACTGTGTTTTTTTTATTATATAAATCATAGGGTCTGTCAAAAACATGTTAATTTTTCCAATTGATATTATTTAATCTGTATCATGGTAAAATATCATATATAACGAAACAGCAGCCATCTTTTACAGTTCCTCCTGAACCAAAACAACCAGCTTAACCAGTTCACACCATAACAACTGGAAGTTGTTTACCTTCATTATTATTGTAATGTAATGTGCTTTGAGACATGAGGTAATTTAACGCTGTCGCATTTGTTTGCTGCCTGCTGTGATCATGTGTTGTGGAGGAGGTGTGGCTTTGGAGACACTCGAAAGGGAGGGTGGGATCTTAAGCTTTCAAAGCTAACTCGCTATTGCTAGCCTCTATGAAAATTGTCCACCAAACCTTTAACGCAGCATCCATATTCCCTTCCTGGCTTGATCAAGCTATTGGTTTCATGCTCACAAGCACCGGGAAGCACTGTATGGCATTTAATCATTGTAGTTGGTAAAAAAAAAAAAAAAAAAAAAAAAAAATATATATATATATATATATATATATAGACCATTTCAAAAGATGTAAACAACACTGGCCCAGAAGCACTTCCTGTTTCAGTTTGTAACCATTTTCTTTATTTCACATGTAATGAAAACATCTTAAAGATGTTTGTTTAAATTTTTGATTCAGTTTTAAATGTTCTGTTGGTTGTATTTTATCCCAGCTTTTATGTAGTGTTAAAAAACTGAAACAGGAAGTGCTTCTGGACCAGTGTTGTTTACATCTTGTGAAATGGTCTATATATATAGATATATATATTCTTGATAAAGTTTTTATTAATTAAACGACTTTTACATTTTAAAATATACCGTCTTTATGTTGTTTTGCCGATTCAATGTGAAATTATGTATTATTAAAACATCTTATACATTTTTAGTGTCTGTTGTAATAATTAATAAGTAATCTAATTAGTGTAATTCACTTTCCTTTGAAAAAGTAAATTAAGAGACTTCTCATAATTTTTCTGTAATTTAATTGCAGTTACTTGATGTAGAGATTAAAGAACAATTATAAAACAAAAATAAATCAATAGGGGATTTAACATCAAGGTTTTATGTTAAAATGTTAATGAGAAAAATTTGGTCAGTTCAAGAACTACGCAATTGTATATTGTTTATTTGATAGAATAAAAAGTGCAGTTTTGTTACTGATTGAAAGATATGGGATTTAGAAAGTAATTAGTAATCCGAAGGTGTTTAGTAGCTAGTAATTAATTATTTACTTACTTACTTACTTATTAAATATTAATATAATTAACTTTTTTAGAGTAACTTTCTCATTTAATATTGTGTGATCAATCGCGATATATTGTCTTAATTAATAGACTTATTTTATCGTTGATATGTAGCCTTAATATAATTTCACGTAATATTGGATTTCTGTGCTTTGTGTCATGACTTCCTCGAGAAGTTATAAATATCATGCAAAAGCAATTCACATGTCTTCATGTATCTGAAAAGCATGCTGCTTTGCAAGCTAAAAAGAACTAGTGTTTGAGTGCACACTGTTTGGAAGGAGTGAAACGTTCACTGTCTCATAAGCTCAAGGCAGACAATGCCAACAGTACACAATGTTCCCTTCACCGAAGGAACTCCCCCTATGTGCAGACCTTCATAATATTTAAGTTACAAAACCTCATGCCATATTTTATTCATTTAAACAGATTATTTTTTCTTAAAATATATATACATCACAATGTCAGTGTGCAGAAAACTCCAACTTTGGACTTTTAACAAGTTAAAGAAAAGTATCAATTGGCACAATGCGATATATATATACGCAGGACAAAAACGGACCGTGACATAGTTGCGGGGAAAGGGGGTATCCCTCCTTACATTAACACAACAGTGGCTTTAAATAAGAGCATACAACTAATACTCCGTTTCTAAAATGTATTTACAGTATGTTTTAAAAGCAATGACAATTTACAATGACAACAAAATAATACAAAACACAACACGACGACATCCTGTATGAAGTGTTCCCTATGCAGACCGATGGTATCGTCCTCAGACACTTACATCGTCCCAAACCTTATAAGAGTTTGATTCACTCCAGACACTCTGTTCATTTGGGTATTTAGATTAATACTTAGCGTTATGAACGTGATGATGATGTATGTTATTCTGGTACATGATCATAAGCGTTATTGCGACGGTTTATTTTGAATGACTGGCTGCCAATTTTTTTTTTTTTTTTTTTTACAACCGGACACTTGGATTAAGAAGTGGAAAACCGGGCTTTTTTCGGATTTTTAACATTGTTCTGCCGTTGCTTTCTTCGTTATTTTAGATATAACAATTAGACAAGCGTTCGCAGTTGTTTTGACGGTCCGATTTACAGTATTTAAAGGGCTTAATTCACTTCGCGAACACGATCCATTGTTAAATAAAGGATGTCTGCTGAACCATTTTCCTACATCGAAATGAGTCGTGTCAGCGCAGCAAGCACTGGTTCGTAACTATATTTCTTTATTGTTTTCCTTCTCATCTTTTAATATTTGGTGTGTTTTCTGTTTAAATGACACTGTCTTTGTTCTCGTTCAAACACAATCCCAAGTGTCAAGCGTTAATCTTGGGAACAACAATATAGCCGTATTCATTAACATAACAATTGTGAAAGTTAGTTAATATTATATAAAAGTGAGTTAGCCCCGTTTCGGGCTTTTTATTCGTTGAGTCTTGCATGTCTCAACATGTCATCGATGAGTTCATTGAGGTCAGCAGTGCAGGAGTATCGGGCCACGAAACTACCAATCCTACTATGGCGAAGCGTGAGCTCATGAATATTAAATAGGCAATGGTGACGTCCCTTGGTAACAGTCTTTGAGCGTCCAATCACGTAACTTGATTAGTATTCATGAGCACAGTGCCTTGTTCGGCGGTTAGGCGAAGTCTTAATTTAAGCCAATCACAGAGACCCGCTGATTAACGTCACGTCGTGTACTGAATGCTCACAGGCCCTCACCTCTTCCATAGTGGGATTGTTGAATGCGCGAGCGGGGATCCCAGGGAAATCCCGAGCGCTGTTCTGTCCACAGCTGTCACTTCAGGCACAGTTCAAGACAGCAGTCTTTACACAAACCTGCGGTGTCTTGTTAACAGTATTACTGATGGGTTAATAAGATCATTAAAGTGTCTGTCTGCTGGCCTTCTGCTTGTCGTAGTCGGCAAAACTCCCTCATACACGGACGTTTAACTTTAGATATTTGCTTTCTTATATTGCTTGCTTTCTAATTATTCAATGTTAATATATGTTATATCATTAATTTTGTTAAAATCGTCATGGCAGTCAGAGATAAATGCATTTATACAAAACATTCTGACTTGTTTATATATATTGTTTTTTCAAATAAAATAGATAAATAGTGGATTGAGTTTCATTATCTGAGACCAAAACCTGACAAATTGACAATTTCTTGCTGGAGGTTGTCCTGTAGAAATGTAACATTTTCTGAACTGTTCAGTAAAAGGTTGTCTCATATTATGTTTCTTCTTCAGACATCGGTAGTGTCGATCATCTACCAAGAGAAACGGAGCCCAGCGATTCATTACAGGAGGCCGGGTGGTACTGGGCTGACATATCAAGGTGAACTATTTAGCCGGAATAAGTCTTAGTATTTTTGTCTTTATCAATTTGTCTGCATATTATTGAATTTATACCACTTCTATTAGGGAGGAGGTAAACGAAATCCTCCACGGCTTGCCAGACGGTGCTTTCCTGGTCCGAAATGCCTCCTGCAGGGTGCAGGGAGAATACACATTAACTGTGAGGTAAGGATTGCATGGTTCTCGATTCCTGATTCTAGATTTTAGTGAAGCAGATTTGTGACTCTGGTACTGACATTGGCCAACTAATCATTAGCCATTAAAACAGTCTTATACCATGGTCTGGGTGAATACTCGATTCTGATTGGCTGCAGGGTGTCCGTTAAAAAGTGATAGAGGACACCTAGTAAAGTAGTTCTGGTGAAACTGCCTGTTTACCATTCGAAATTAATAAATAAATGCGCTGCCTACAACGGCTGTGAGTAACCATAGCAACAGGCAGTCACATGCTCTAGCTCTATCATCTAACGTTAGATATTATAGCCTAATACAACAATGAGCGACTTCGTGCTATTTCTTTTAACATTTATGGAGAATATGGCAACTTTGACGACTGGTATGCTGCTGAAGAAAGAAAAAATGTAAATAAAACGGAGAAAATTACACCGCTGCTGCTCTGCTCCATTGAACTCTATGTAACGACGTAACTTGCGACCATAGTTGGATAACGATGCTTTCGGGAAACGCACCCCTGAATGAGACCCTGCGGGAGTTTTACGCAGCTGTCCAGACAACCAAGGCAGGAGAAGGCTGAACGTTACAGCGTTTCAAGCCTAAGGAGCCTGAGGCAAATGACCCTCTCTTTGATCTGATTAATTTATTGCCCTCTATAACGTTAAGCGCAAATCGCTGGAGCTCAGAGCTAATTGTTTTTTTATTGTTGTTTGATTAATTGTTTTATGTGTAATAAAAAAAAAATAAAAAAAAACTATGCCTACCTTTGTGTTTCATGAAAAAAAAAAAATGCATTTGTGAACCTGAAGGGATACGAGCTAAGCGGACTATAAATATCTCCGGTTGCTAAATAAACAGTCAGGCAAGGCAAGTTATTATTTGTAAAAACTAGATTTAGCCTAATTAAAATATAAACTAATGTTTTAAAAATGTTTTATTTGGCAAGTGACCATGGTATAAGCGGGTTAATGCCCTCCGAGGTGTCCATTGTCAGGTTTTAATGGACTTCGGCGGAGGCAACCGTCCTCCGCTGCGCGTCGGCCGGTTTACGCCTCGCCGTCGTCCATTAAAACCTGACAATGGACACCTCGTCGGGCATTAACCCTTACTTGTCTGTATTGCTACCAATCACACATCTATCACAAATAATATATGTTCACAAATCAGAGTCATTAAAAATTAGTGTCACTTTTAGGATCTGTCTAAAGGTACATTTACACAACAATGATTTACTAAAGGGGAAAGGTTTTTCCTTTATGATTTTTGCGTTCAGACGACAATGTTGTCAAAACAATCCCCGTTTACACGACTAAAAACGCAGTATTTTGCTAACACTTCCCAGTAGTTGGCGATAAAGACACTGTTCTTGTAGACTGAACCACTGTTTTCACAAATTAAATTTTTTTTGCACCGAGACAATAATGGGAACTTTCAAAGTTGATTTCTTAAAGGATTAGTTTAAGGATTAAGATGGCAAATTGTCCGATTTGATTGGTTGGGATTTCAACAATGGGCTCTTTTCACACATGACCTCTACATAGAGAAATACATTGTACCAGAAAAAAGGCTGTGTGTCTGAAAGCACTTCTCTCCACAGGAACAATGGCACCAACAAACTCATCAGGATCCAACACCGAGATGGAAAATTTGGATTCTCGGAGCCTCTGACCTTCAGCTCTGTGCCGGATCTGATATCTTACTACAGGCAAAGGAGCTTAGTCCAGTACAACACTTCCCTGGATGTCACACTGGCTTATCCCGTGTCCCACTGTCACACGGTCGGTACCTTTCAGTGAATTTCGTTGTGATCCTAGTTGAAAGGAAACTTTAGTCGGTGTGTTTTTGTGTCAATAAGCAAATGCCTTATATTGCGTGTTCAGGATCTACCTGTGAAGGAAGAGTTTTTGAGCGCCACCAGAGAGAAACTTCAAGAATGTTTAAGACTGTTTCAGAAGACGGCAGAGTATGACCAGCTATATGATGCTTGCACCACTTTATTACAGGTAAGCTTTTCCAGGATCAAATATGTGCAGATGTAATAGTTTTTGAAAAATGTATGTCAAATACATTGCTTTTCTAAGAATTTTCCCCTGTCGCTTTACAGGAAATCCAAAGGACAAATACTTTAGAGCCCGTCAGTATGACCGAGATCTCAAAAGACCAGTGTTATTCTCAAGAGAACTCTTGCAAGGATTTCCCCGTCTCAGTCCACAGTCATCTGACAAAGTGAGTGCTCGTAAACCCTAGCAGTTCACACATCTTTTACATCCTTTGCTCAAGTTGCCCAAACCTGTAGAAATTTCTTTATTCTGTTGAACACAAAAAAGGTTTTTGAAGAATGTCGGTAACCGAACATTTGATGAACATTGACTTCCACGGTATGGAGAAAAAAAATATTATGCAAGTCAATGGGGTCCATGAACTGTTCGGTTACCAACATTCACTTCATCAGCATTTCATTAAAACTATCGTCATATACACACAGAAACTCAAGACAACCTGTCAAAATAAAAGTTTGGTTTGATTTGAAGAAATTGTGACAGAAATATTTTGCTGATATTTTTTTTTAAGGAATATTAAAAATAAATTCTTGTTTTTGGTACAGGTGCTGAAATTTACCTAAAATAAATAAATTGTTAGTTTGGTTTGACTACATTTTAAATGACTAATTAAACTGTTAATGTTTTATGCCTTCATTTGATCACAATGTGTATTAAATCATAAATACTGAAAAATGAAAACAAGACGAGAATTTCTGACGAAATGGAACATTTTTATTGTAAAGTAAAGTAGTGAAGTTTTATGAATTCAATTGATTAGACATGATTTCTGGTAATTAAATTGAATTAAACCTCTTAACAGCATAATCCAGAAAATAATGAAACATCTCAATTTCATTTATTTTTATAAACTTGTAAAGAATTAATTTTCATTTAATTAGACAATCAGACTATTAAAACAAAATCCAGAAAAAATAAATAAAACCGATTTTCATAAGTACTTGGATTTGGGGTTTTAGACTTTCATTCATCATCATCACAACTGAGGATATTTTTTAATGAAACCTGAGAGATTTCTGTTCCTCTATCTGCAAGTCCATTCACTCATAAATTTGACGCATCAAAAAGTTAATAAAAAGATCATAAAACTAATCCATATGAATTGAATGGTTTAATCCAAGGCTTTTGAAGAGACGCATGTGCTTTATTTGATGAACGGGTTTAATTTAAGCTTTTATTCCCATATAAACACACACACATACATTGAGCACTTCAAATATGGTAAATGGAAGTTGAACTGTACTTAATGAAGTTGCAAAGTTTTGGCCTTTTAATGGAGGGACAGAATTCTCTCAGGTTTCATAAAAACATAACCATTGTGTTTCAGTTCATGATGAACTATATACCTTAATGTGGGATACTTGACTTTGCGAACACCGGTTATTATGATTTTTATTGCATTTCGAAATAATTTACCCGTCATCACTGATTTGATTAAAAAAAAATCTCTCAATATTATGGCACCTTTTAAACCGGTTAAATTTCCCGTCTTTATTAACGAATTGAAAGGGGAACACGACTGATGCAATAGATCAGAAAGGTCCGTAGGAGACGATGGGACAATGCTCTTGGAGGCATTGCCAGAGCTTTTTGCTTATCAGCGAGTGTTTATTTCCTCAGGTCTCCATACGAGGTAAAAGAGGAGCGAGAGGAGAGCGTGGAGCTTCTGGAGGAAGAGCGATGGTTTGTGGGAGATCTCGGGCGAGGTCAGGCGGAGGAGCTTCTCCACGGGAAACCGTCCGGTGCTTTCCTCATCCGAAACAGCAGCTCGAAGGATTGCTACGCCTGCTCTGTGGTGTAAGTCATCAATCTTTGTCCTGTTTGTTTCTTAATTAGCACAAGATGGAAACGTCCCGTAGCTAGGGATGGGTATCGTTAAGGTTTTATCGGTATTACTACTCTTACCGATACCGCTTATCCATCCGGTACTTTAACGGTATTCTTATCGGTTCTTTTTGGTGTTTTTTTTTTTTTTAAGAATTAAGAACATAATTAAACTCTATATTTTGAAATGTAAAATAGAAAAAGCAAAGCGAAGAAAAATATATTTTTGTTATGCAGCAATGTGCAGGCTTTTTTGTTTTATATACAAAAAGGACACATAAGAAAAAAAAAACAAGTACAAACACAAGAATAAAATCAATCAAAGATACAAATTATATACAAAAGTGCTTTAATTTCAGGAAGGTGTACTAACATATCTTTTCAGGTAATTGTTTCTGTCTGAAAAGAAACCTAATTTAGTAATCAAATATAAAATAGCACTGTATAGTTTATCATAGATAGATTAATGCTTATTAAATCTAAAGTTACTCATTCAAAAGCTGTGAGTGATTTTCTCTGCCTTTTGTTGTTTGATTTGCATTAATGGCTGAATTGTCAGCAGGTTTAGGCTATTAGACTGCTGCCCCTTTAAGATCGAGAGCAAATCTAATCTGTAACCGGTAACTGAAGCACCATCAATTTCTCCCTATTATTTACGTCCATTTAAGACATAATTGTGTTTAAGTGAATAAACTGTGTTTCAGCGAATCTCAGAGCTGGTCATTTTGACAGTATGTATATTTGATTGTTAAGGAGGACACACGAAGCCCAAAGTATAGGCTACTTTTCTTGTCTCGTTGCAGTCCGCTTCGGAGCGCGCACCGCCTTGTGGACAGCGTCTCTTGCGCAGGCTTTTGTGTTTTTAATAGCCATTTTTTGATCTTGCAACAGTAGAAGACAGCATTTTGCAACAATCATCGATCGTGCTGATTCTGACGGTACGTTTGGGCTGTGAAGTGAAGGACGTTAAGCTGGACAGATCATGCGTCTTGTTTTTTAACGGTTTTATCTCAAATATCTTCTTTTTATAATCTTTGGAAGCCGAAATACAAAATATATTAGAATAATATCCCAGATCTAAAGTGTAACCACGTTGGATGTTTAGTTCTGTCCTCATTGTCACTCATTAAGCAGGGCTGTCGTGTTGCGCGTGCTGTGGCTTTGCGTGAGAGATCGCTCTCTCTCTCTTCTCTCTCTCTCTCTGCTGAACTGCGAATTTCAAATTTGCATCACAGACAAATGGTTTAATTAAAATATAGTTTATATATAGAAAAGGCTGGCGATATAAACATGTTCAAGATAACGTCTTTATAGGAATGATAAATAATTTTTCCAGTACCGACAGCAGAACCGATAACGTCCGAGCTTATCGATACAGCGGTCTTTCAAAATTCAGCACCGGGGCCCGTTTAATACCGGGTTTCGGTACCCATCCCTACCCGTAGCGTGGTGTGAATCGGTTGTCTTCAGAGGCTGTAGTCCCGTATTGGCAGACATTTTGGATCAGACATCCACATTGGATCTTTTTCTGGCCATGAACGATATACAGTAACAAAAGATCAATTTTCTGCCCGGTGTTTTACTTAATCTGGCAATCATGCGCACAAGCTCTTTCTATTATGCGATAGTGCCGCCGATCTGAAAACTCAAAAAGCAAGTAAACTGTAGTTCAGCGATCTCCATTGAGATATTCTGCTTAAAGGAAAGTGTCAGTCTGTGTTCGGTTCACGAGCCAATAAATCTGCCATCTCCGTCCCAAAACGCCGTCGTGGTGTAAACGAACGGCCAAAAGTTTTACGTTTTTAGCTGAAACCGGTGTTGTGTAAAACTGCCCCTATAAGTTCTCAAATGAAATGAAATGAATGAATTTTAGAGTTTCTTTTTGTAGAAATTTTAATCAGAGATCTTAACACTAGTCATTCAAGTCACGAGATAATTAAAGGGAGAGTCCACCCAAAATTAAAATTCTGTCATCATTTACTCACACTCAAGTTGTTCCAAACCTGTATGCATTTCTTTGTTCCGCTGAACACAAAGCAAGATATTTGTGAGAATGATTGTACATCGAGATGTGCTTGGTGAACTAAACCTTGAAGCATTGCAAAACTAGTCTAATGACTCTTCAGGAAACCTGCTTTTTGCCTTTATTTATAGTACAATAGAGCGCAGATGGAAAAGTAAGGCTATTAAGTCGTCGTTCGTAGGTTCAAGTTTGAAAGTTTTATAAATGTATCTGCTAGATGAACCTTTGTTTCCAGCTTGACCCGATTCTGGTTCGCTAACCCCGCTCTGAATGTCTTTAACCACAGGGTGGGCAGCCAGGTGAGGCACTGTGTGATTCGCCACACCGAGCGCGGCTACGGATTCGTCGAGCCGTTCGATCTCCACAAGTCTCTGAAGGATCTCGTTCTGCACTACCATCACACCTCGCTGGCACAGCACAACCAGGCTCTGGACGTCCGGCTGGCGTATCCGGTCCACAGCTGAGTCCACTTGCATCCCGGTGAGGGTTACGTGCACTAAGACTGAAGAAGATGTGCCACTCATTGGCGTTGTCCCTTCATTTTACAATGTGCGAAGGGTGGAACCAACTGTGTATGTGTATTGCACTTTCCAAAGCATTCCTCATGGTCATAATGAAACTCCAGTACTTGAACAAGTATTCGATGAGCCCTTTGTAGACATGTTTACAGATAGTCACAAAAACAACAGAATTTGTAATACGATCACGCTTTTTAAGTGGGGATGAATGCATATAGCCTTTTTTATTAAAGTTTTATTAAAACATTTTAAAGTGTATTTTGTGAATGTAACAAAGTGGGTGCATTTATTATTCAATGGCAAACTTTTTAAATTTTGCTTTATTGTCTAAAACAAGATACCGGCAATTCATTTATTTTATTTTCTTGCACCCAAGCAAGGACGTTCTTGACGCTTGGTTTAATAGAAATCCAAAAAATGTTTCAGAAGCAGTTTTTAGTTAATAAATGTTGAGCAACATATTTTGTGCACAATACAAGTATCCATTTTACACCTGTTGGCAAGTTACAGGAAATGTATTTGTTGAGTTTAAGTTCTACTTCTAATGTTTACTTGTTTTTAGGAAGGCCAGGACAGTGTAGTTGTCTTATGGGACACTTCATTGAGTTTAATAAATGAGCGTGTCTATGGTAAACGACACAATGCCAAACTGCTCATACTTGAGATGAACAACTCTCTGTAAAATATTTTTTTTTAGTTTTTTTTGTCATTTGTCAGCAGCATAAGGGGAACATTTACCCTGATTCGCAGAGCTTTTTTTTTTTTTTTTTGCTACAGTTTTCCCTTGCATGCTTCTTTACAAAAATCAAATAAAAGAACAGATTGTGAATAAATTCAGAGCCCATGTCTGATGTATTTATTAATGAAATGATTTTCTTGTAAATGTGCTGCCGACGTGTGCGGTGTACTGTAAACCAGGCCTGAGCTGTCTAAAATATGAAGTAAATAACATTACATAACAGTTTTATGAACATTAAACCCTGTTGTAACAAGTGTGCAGGTACTATAAGTAAACCCTGCTTACTGTATCGCTCTGTCCTGTCCCTACGCTGTCAGATGAGGAGGACATTTGTAGATATCCAATCCTATTGTGGCTTATGTTCATAATACATGCAGTATAGACTGATTCTCTATTACATCACATGAAAATACCCACACAAATACTGTAATTTGAACAAAATAATCCATTTATTTTTAAGCTCTTTAATTTAAAACATAACAAAAGTTTTTAAATATGGCTGCCAGTAGGCTATCAATAATGGGGCTGAACCCCTCCATTAGTTCCATGAGTTCATTCAAAAAGTAGCTAAAGAAAGAAAGAAAATGGAAGAAACATAACAACTCTGGTTTTTAAAGTAAGTGTTTTATAGGATTGGTGTGGTTATTAAAGTAATGTTTTAACAGAATATGTTAAATTGGTTCAGGCGAATATGGTTCTGATTTTGTCAAACTGGATTTATGTAAACACAAACTTTCCTTTGGAAATTCTGTTGCTTAACAGGGCAGATTCTTGTTCGGGTATTAAGATTCAAGGTGAGAATCTTTTTAGACATGCAGTAGAAGCCAGAAAACACAAATAAAGCCCTTGAATTTACTTGGTGTATCAGTAGCAATGAGATTCGAACCCCCAACTTTCTGATCAAGTGTTCATTGATCATCATATCACCTGATGCACATTAATGCTGAGGAAAGCGTTACTTAGCATATTAACTGGTTAGCATGCTATGCTAACTTAGCTACCAACATAGTTTATGGCCACATTAGAACGAATGGACAGAATTTAACATGCTAACCGATTAGCATGCTGTCTAAGCTATGAAGCATTAGAAAACAAAAACAGACAGGTAGCAGCTACTTATTTCTCGATAGCGGTAGCAAATATCAAAAATCCATTCAGTTATTTTTGTGTGATCACATGATCAGATTTTGGAGAAAATTTGTAGTAGCAAAAAAACAAAACAAAACTATTTTTCATAGCTTACTTCAGTATGGTGGACAGACAAATTTAAGGAAAATAACAGTTGAAATATTGTCAGATTCGGCATAAACCAGAGAACATAATGAAAACAAATTTTGGACAATGTTTTCAAGAGTTATAAATGCTTGTTCAAAAATCCTTATATATCTGGAACAGGTTGCGCTGTGTTCAGATTTTCCCGATCCTGGAAAAATCCACGGATTCGTCATGATCATGGGTCGACCCAAGGACCCATAGACACAGATCATGATTTTCTGGCACAAGTGACCAGTAGGTGGACACAAAGTCGGTCAGATCTCTATTCATTAGCATCACTACAAGAGTGACAATTTTCATCATTTTCCTATGTAGGCTACCTTTAGGGCTGCCATTGTCTCCCATTCGGGAGGAATAATAATACAGAAAAGCAACAATTACAACAGGGGCTACAACACATCACATACTGTTTAAAAACTGTCTATGGATCATTTGTAGATCATTAATACGGAGGCGTATTGCATTCACTTGAAGAAAAAAAAAATCTACTCTGTTTTTCTGAATTAACGAGTTAATTTTTCATGAGAAAAAAAAAATTGCTCTGTTTTTCTGATTTAATGAGTAAATTTTTCATGAGAAAAAAAATTTCCTCTGTTTTTCTGAATTAATGAGTTAGTTTTTCTTGAGAAAAAAAGTTTTTGCTCTGTTTTTCTGAATTAATGAGTTAATTTTTCATGAGAAAATTTATTTTTGCTGTTTTTCTGAATTAACTCATTAATTCAGAAAAACAGAGCAAAAAAAAAAATCCATTAAAAATTAACTCATTAATTCAGAAAAAGAGAGCAAAAATTTTTTTCTCATGAAAAATTAACTCGTTAATTCAGAAAAACAGAGCAAAAAAAAATTTTCTCATGAAAAATTAACTCGTTAATTCAGAAAAACAGAGCAAAAAAATTTCCTCATGAAAAATTAACTCGTTAATTCAGAAAAACAGAGCAAAATGTTTTTTTCTCATGAAAAATTAACTCATTAATTCAGAAAAACAGCAATTTTTTTTTCTCATGAAAAATTAACTCATTAATTCAGAAGAACAGAGTAGATTTTTTTTTCTTCAAGTGAATGCAATACGCCTCCGTACATTTATAACAAAAATGTGGGAAAATTTAAACAGCACACAATGCTCCACTTTGGCTTCCTTGATTCTGTCTTCGGTTAATAAATTATGAAATATTTTCTAGCTCCATTTTCTAAATGGTCTATTGATTAGGAGTTCTTCAACACAAGAGCACCAAGTCTGGAAAGCCACGGATGCTAATCATAAACACAGTGGTTCCAAAAATGTGACAAAAATAAAAATAAACACATGTGCCTGGATGAATCAAACATTTTTAAATGACTTTTAGACTTATATCTAAAGAAGAGTTTCTTCAAGTTCACACAGGTGTCTCACACGTCAAACTATCCATAGCAACTTGGGGTAATACAACGTTTTTCTTCACTTAAATGCATAAGAATGAATAAACACTGTGTTTAAAAGTGCTGTGTGTATCTTTTTCACTACAGCATAAAAATACCATAATATGTTTGCAAATATTGAGGAAACATGCTGAGTTCACATTCTCATTTCTCTGAAAAACACTCCTATAGACAGTTATTTTACATGAAATGTGTGTTTCCAGGCTGTAATGTTTGTTATTGTTTTGGCCTGTTTCCAGTATGTAGTGATATCTGGCCAGTTATTCTTGCTTTTTTCTTTGAGGAAAATATAATTTACTCTTGTTGTAGAGTAAAGTTTTTATTATAATAGAATGTTGTATTTCTCTATTACACCAAACATTTTTCTCACGTCCTTTTACTGAAATTGTACTTTGAAAAATTAGCAAAAAGTGTACAGTGGGCCTATATAACTTTTGCCAATAATGTATGTATTTGTGTTCCATTCTTTTTAAGTAAATAAAATGTCTTTAATGCATCAGGTGGGAAATGTTGAAATATATCATCATATGTCCTTTCTGTCACCCAAAATTTCATTTTACATTAAAATCAACTAAAATATTTCAAATGTTACAGTGCCAAAAGACAAATACAGTAACAGATATATTACAAATGTATTAAAAGAGAAATTATTTGCCATGTTTACCAATGTTTTGGTCATCTAAATATGAAATAATTCAGTGAAAAAAGTATAATCAATAACAAAGAAGTTTTTAATAATGTTAAGAGGTTTCCTTTAAAATTTTACACAGAATTTACCCTGTTAAGAGTTACTTGAGCATTTCAATTTGGATATGCAAGACTCATGTAAATTTTGTGATGTTGCTAAATAATGTGATCCATCTTTTCTTTTCGATGTCCCTAACTTCATTTAGAACAGATTTATCTGATAAATATTTATCTGATAATAATATAAATTATTATTTACAGATCATCATTGATTTCAAAGGATTTTTTTCCTCATACAAATTTTTACTTTGAAAATATCACATTCATGTGAAGAAATGGGCTAAAGACAAGCCCAATTGTGAAAAGTTTATACATGAAATTAAACAATAGCCTAATTATGGCACTACTTCAGATAATAATAAAAACAAAAGCAAGAACTACAAAGCATTGCATCACTTTAACTTGTTGTAAACTTACTGCATACATTGTTTTCCTTTATATATTTGTTGCTAGTTGTATATGTTTGTGCAAGTTTTGTATATTTTTCTGTAATAGAAAAGAACGTTACAGCACAGTATCAGTATCGGCATGGTCGTCTATCGATTAGTTTGGTCTAACAGATTACTTCTTCTTCAGACATGTTCTTCAGATTGAACGGCATTCTGCGCATTACCGCCATCAACAGGACTGTTAAAACGGCTGCGAACCTGCGAACACAATAAAAAGTAATAATTTAAACGAATAAATATAAAAATGCAAATAATAATAACACTGGTAATCGTGAAGTCATGGCACACAGTTCAGAAGTCTTTAAAAAATTCCTAAACATATGTTTCAGATGGGTTTGACAGACTGAAATGCCGATGCAGGAAAACTCGATGCCCATGCGGAAGTGAGTCTATGATCATATGGATAAGCGAAGTGGAGAAAATAACGAAATTAAAAATGTAAGTAGGCTTACACGTCCATTGAGCAGAGAAACTCGCCCTGCACTTGTTCTACTGTTCTACTTGTTGAATGATCTTTTGATTTTCGGATGTGTTGCAGTTTGAGCATATCTATCTAATGCTGATGTTTGTTGTGGTTTGGGGTTGGGCTGCTGTACGTTATGTGTTTTAGATGTCAAGCTGCTGTAAATCTATCACAGGAACATGGACGTTTCAGTCCACACCACCCAGGATGATGCTAGCTTTCAGGATTTCACGGAGGAGGTGTGGCTCATCTGTTAAACACACCTGGTCTGAGCACCTGAAAGGTTGCAGGTTCGACAGGTTGTTCCTGTGATCAGTTCATAGCAACACAACAGCTAAAACACAACACAACAACACAGCCCAGCCCAAACTGAACTAAAGTTTGGGGTTTCTTTGGTTAAGGAGCTTTTTACTTAGCCATAGAACACAAAATGTCCACTTCAATTTATTTTAGATAATGTTAATAACAAAACGGTTCTGCACGTAGATGTACATACTCACTCATAGAATATGCCCCCTCAATGCTTTAATGCACTGTCTTGCCTTCTTGAACACCAGGGAATGTTTTTACGTTTTGTAAAAGTTGTGTTTGAGTCCCTCAGTTGTCCACATTATGAAAGGTTGGATCTCAAAATCATACTGTCTGTTGGAAAGAACCATCACAAAAACATAAAAATGAATGAATTAAAAAGCATTTCGAATTTATTTCTAATAAAAATATGAGTACAATGCTAATCTTGATTACAAAGGA